TGACACATGACCTCTGGTGGATCCTTGATGCTAATGCATAACACCCTTTGGTCATCTAGGATTTAAGTATGCTGTTCCATGTATTGCAAGGCTCCAACACATTTAGGGATATGAAACATGGATGGACTTTATTTGGTTTAAATGTTGGTCTTATTGTATTAATTCTAATAAGGATCTAATAAGCAGAAATGCAAGTCATTTTAGGCTGCTACCATAGTGCCATGCTGCATGCATCACATTACAAATAGCCACTTTGTATCGCTAGTTGTTACGTGCATGTCTTAACGTCTTAACCCTTTTAAATTATTAAGAGAAAGGGCTACAACAGGCTTTTTAAAGCGCCTGATCTTGAAGTTGTTAAAGTGACCAGTAGAGAGCAATGTTGCATCAATTGAAGGAATGGATGTGCTCTTCAGTGTACAGGGACACATTGTCTCAGAAGAAGTTTATGAAATAGGCTATAATTAGCAATTAGGCAGTTTAGTAGTAAAGAAAAAGCTATAAATTGGAGCCTAATAGTATTTTTTAAATCTAGTACCACTGCCATTAACATTTAACGGCTCTTAAAGATAATCATTTGACCATTGTATCGGCATAATAGCCTATCTTTGACTTCCTTAATTTTAAGGTTGTTAGGTTTATGAAAGTCGAGGTTTACAAGGTTTTTAATACATTTTAAGAGATCAGAAGCACATTTACACAGAGCCACTTTAGTAATACAAGAGGAAAGTTGGTGTGGAAACATGTAAACAGTAGTGTGCACATCTACAAGTGTGAGTGTTGTTTATAAAGGGAGATAACACATTCCTGCTGTATGTTTCCGTCCCAGCTGAGACAAGTAATGGCATGAATGAAGAAATGTAAGGGGCGACCCTGAGCTTATCAACATTAACATAGTGTAGAGTTGTACATAGTCACAGACTGTTGTTATTTTAGTCATGGACGTAGATGACCTCTTTCATATTATTAAAAGAAGCTGTCTTTTAGTTGTGCTTAAGAAACATTTGCTTTTGTCTGTTGTGATGTGTTTTTTTTTTAGATGATTAAAAATAATTTCTGAACAAAAACAAAAGTTAATTTTTCATCCTGTTTTCATCTTCCTTCCACTTTTTGAGGTAAGTTGAAATGCCAAATACCAGAAAAGAAAATATCTGGAAATGAGGACAGAAATAATTGGGCAATGTTATGGTTAATTTTTTAGTCAATATGTGTGAGGGTCGTATGACTAAAACGTTTCAACACTAAAAGTGCAATAACAGATTTTCGCCACTTGGGGGCATTAGAAATTAGCTGTAAACAACATTGATGCATTCTGTAATCAGTGTAGTGTCTGACTTTGGTTATGATACAGTCTATCTAAAACTCATGCACACACTAACTGACTAACAGATGGCTTATATGGCTTTGCTTTTACTAATTTTAGCTTCAATTCATAATAAGACTATTCACTGTGATCATTTTATTGTATTATAATACACTTGTAATATTGGTGTGTGTATTAGAATATCCATCTAGAGCCGTAAATAAATACCAATAAGAGGCTAAGTGAGTCCCAAATAGTAATACTGAACAGTCAGAGGACCTTGTATCCTCAATGCTGTAAGTCCTAGTGTCATCCTGTTGCACTGGGAAAGGCTTCATGTGTGCCTCCAAGGATTTTTATTATCTTTCCAGAAGTCACCAACCGTCCAAAACCTCTGACAGCAAGGCCATGAGAAAAGCAATCCCATTGAGAACAATTCAATTCCCAGAGGCGTTTTCCGTGACGACTCATCCGCTCTAATCGTATGAGTTATCTCCTATCAGATAAAGTCGTCCAGAACTCCTCATGGGAGTAGATGCAGCTCGAGTTTGTTTACAGATGGCAACTTTTTACGTCACAAGGTCACAGTGTTTCGCGTTCAGCATTCCACGTCCTGCAAATATAATAAAACACGCTGAAGGATGGCTGAGGACAGATGGCTGTGAGCTGACTCGTGTGTAGCTTCAACACTTAATTTCATCTCATTCAGACTTTGTTTTTGCTACTCCTGGAAAGCTCTCCTTCTATCTGTGTGGTTATAAGATTTTATAGGCGGGGGTGGATTTTGCTGTATTCTTTCTCATGCTTCTGACTGTTGATTATACATATTTGAAATGTGTTGTATTAGTTGTAGAAAGCTTCTTGATTTTGATTGGCTGGTGAGGGAAACGTGATATTGAGGAGAGTGGTGCTTTCTCAAAAGTTGAACTGTATTAACTGAGAACGCTTGGAGCTCAGCGACAAAAACAGCCGGACTTGCTGATTTTTCAGAAATGTTCAGTTTAATGGGATCCATGAAACCTTCTTAAGCTCGTTTTCATAAAGGCCACGGAGTTAACTGGTGCTATGGAGAAATCTAATTGTAGATTCCATTGGACTATTTGTTTAGCTGGAGAAATAAATAATTTTCAAATCAATAAAATAATTTCCAAATCAATATTTTGTTTCAAACGATTGATTTTCTAAGTAAGTAGCCGTGTAATAAGCAGGGACATTATAGGGTTGTTATGAGGTTTCATGCAGCCATAATAACCCGCTATACACTTTTCAAATAAAGCTGCTTCATACTTTTTTCTACTCACCAGTAGATTATTTCCATCTTGTTCATTGATACTGTAAATATCTCAATTTACATGCAGCATTGATACAAGAGCAAAACATGATAAGGCTCTGTTGCTTCCACCATCTCAGATTTCCACAGCGTCCTTTTCATGACATGTCTTGCCCCCTGAGCCCCCTGTCTTATTGATGCAAATTGTCCAGTATGATGTTGGTTACTTTTCTAGGCTAGTCCTGCCCCAGCAGGTTATTTGGCCAAACTCTGATTATAGCATACATTTATAAAAGTCCCAGTTCGGGGCTTTGGGCAGATTCATGTACTGCCACTGCCTCTTTGATCAATCGTTTGACAGATGCTAATCGAAGGGTTCAAATGTGACAGCGACCTCTCCTGCATCACGGCTCAAGGCCTGCCCGTAGATCAAACAGATCAATAAGTAATGTGTTCAGCCTGACCTGACTCTTGACCCCATAACACCTTAATAACCCAGTCAGGACCATGTTTGTCTACATCACTTCCTCCACAGTCAGCAACTTGGCTGTGAAACTCCTCGATCACCAAACTCCGCTTACTCTTCCAGAATTATCACACACTTCCAGTCCAGCTTGCCCTCGTTCGTAATACTGTACAAAGTCTGAGTCTGTAAATGAACTAATTCTCATCCTGATGATTGGATTTTGAGGAAGTAATTATTGTTGACACGTCAGCCGCCTCCTACATAGATTGGAATTCCCCTCCCTTATTAGCGTTGAGGACATTAGCAGGGGATGTGGCTGACACGTGCCAGAGATATATTAAGATTGCATAAATGTTCTTTAGGGCTCCAGGATGATAATGTACATTTTAGATGGAATTTTGGCCATTTCCGTTTAACAGAAAGTAAAATTAATAACATTGTGATTCCTAATGAGAAATGTTTTACAGTTCTCTTCAAAATAACACCCCAAAACTCTTTATCCCCTTTAAAGAGCTGTTATCAGTAGACAAAATGTCCCTTTAGAATCTAAATAAATCCAGAAAGTTCACCACTTAATTGGCACCGATTAATCTGAGGGTAGCTGATAGTTACCCTTGTTTCATTTGAGGGCTTTAAAGCAGGGTCATTATGCAGGATACTAATGAACCTCCCATAAAGGAGCAGGTAACTATTGGTAATGGGCTCAATAAAATTCATATTTTGCATCCCTAGTTTTTGCACCCAGGCCTCCATCAAACAGGCAAAATGTAAACATGCTGATTAAGAAAGCATTGCTTGTTTACATGAAATATTTTTTCCACATTTATTGCAATAATCTCAGACTCTTGCGATGTGTTTATTGGGATTGCTTATAATTTGATAACAATGAAAATGTGATTAATTCCACAGCACTGGCTCTAAGGATTGGCTTTTAAATATTAGGCTCAAAGGATATTGCTTTGCCTTTGAGCTGGTCCCAAGTGGTCACTTGAATAACTGCAGTCTTTGCACCTCTGCATTGGCTTAATTGTTCTGCTTACAGTTCTGTGGGAACCATGTGCATATTTCCCCAAAACTTTCAAGACATAAAGTCATGTTATTTTAATTTTCACAGCTTGCATGACAACGTTCACACAAACATGTTTTCATCTGATGCCTGTTCTTTTGCCATAATTCCATATCACATGTCTGTTGGTCAGGCAGGTTGTGTGGAGTTGATAAGAAACATGCACGATTAAGTCGGGGAATGTATCTGTATGGGCAAAATCATGCAAACGAATACCGTAACTATAGTGTGTAAAATGATAGCAGACACAGTAGCACAACACATTGTTATTTTTTTAATACTTCAAATGAAAAAATATCTTCAGTCCTTAATTTAGATAGGTATGTTCTTCTGAAGTACCCGCTTTGAGACTAATGGTAAGGAGGAAAACTTAAAACCTTGCAGGTAAACAAGATGCATTCTCCACCGGTGTGTATACAGCTGGGCTCGCACCAAAGTGAGGATAGTGTCATTGAATAAATGTTTGTCGAGCTGCATGCACGCAGTCATTTGTAAGTGTCGCCCTGAAGACTGCACTAAACTAGGGCAGCTTACTGTGTTTGTTTGCAGAAAAAGTCACATATGATATATGAGGGAATTTGGCAGTGATTCATACTCTGCATAATGAAGCGTGGAGAAGTATGGGAATTTTCTGGCAGATAATGTTTTTTATAAGTTTGGAGCAAAGTTTGAAACTTTAATGAAAATCCAGGGGCTTCTTGTGGAGAATATACAATAGAAAGTAAGCTGTATTGCTGCTCAGTAATAGTTCTTATCTTGAGACTTCCTAAAACATGCTCACACACACACACACACACACACACACACACACACACACACACACACACACACACTTCCCCCCTCCCTCTGTCCCTCCTCCTCCTCTCTGTAGCAAACATACATACACGCTCTTCCCAGACTGACTGTTCGCGTCTCACCAGCCAGGATGACTGGAGGAGTTTGGACTGCATAGCCAGCAGCGTTTAAAGGGAAAGTGTGCGTTTGTGTGTCAGCTTGCGTGTGTGTGCGTGTGTGTGTGTGTGTGTGTGTGTGTGTGTGTGTGTGTGTGTATGGGCATACTCTGTACGCTGTAATGGTGCCCCATGTGTGACTGTGCTGACCGCGACAGCCATCCTGTCCACAGCAGAGGCTTTCTCAGCATGCAGATGGTGTGTGCAGTCAGGGGGGGAAAGTTTGCAACAGCTCATCTGAGCCTCAACAACTCAATCGTCTCTGCACACACCGGGTTGTTTCTGGAGGGAAGTGGCAGCCGAAGCTGAGCTGTTCAACAACTTCAGCTCCTGTCAGCCCAGGATTTCTGTTAATGTTGACTGATTAATGTGACAAGACTGGATACATCAGTTGTGTATCACCAAAACGTCAGAGCCAAGGGATTTAAAAAAGACAGTTTGTTTGAAAGGTGAGTCTGCGCTTTAAAGTTGTACAGTTTTTGCCTCTATAGTGAAGTTACAGATTTGTGATGTTGTAGTAATGTGTCTGCATTGTCTTGCTCGCACAGCGTTACACACTTGGTATGTATCCATTGTGTTTTTGACTCATATTGTGTGTTTGGATAAACTGCTGCTGTAACGCCACAATTTCCCAGTTTGGGATCAATAAAGTTATTCTATTTTTATTCTATTCTATTCTATAATATAAGCCTGAAGATGCCGCAAATGGTCTGACTGACAGCTTCAGTCTTGTAATCCTTGACTGACACTTAAAGTTATGTAATTTATGTTTTGAGAAGCTCTCCCTTGAGCGGATGCATACATGCTTGTAGCTTTGACATTTTGTGCTGCTTTCATGGTCGGTTTGATATATTGCATGGAAGAGAAGTCAGTGGGTGTTTTTTTTTTTTTTTTGAGTGAACATTTCTTTTGAGAAGTTTTATAAACAAACTTTTACAAATGGGTTTGATCACTACACTTATGAGTCACTCATGCGTTGTCGCACAGCTGTATCATGTTGTGATTGGAATAGAGGAAGTATAGGCGCTGAACTTTCAGAAATGTAGAAGTGTTACTTTCTGAGCTTCTGAGAAATGTCTTTTAAAAATGGAAAACAGCTTAATTTTACCTAAAGCATATAAGCAACACTGTTGGCCTGATAGAGCATGCCTGAATGTAACCATAGCAACGACTCTTAGGCAGCTGGAAAGCATCAATACATCAGTGTAGTTTTTCAGGTTTTCATTAGTCATGTAATTAATATTCAGCACACTCAACTACCGCTCTGTTGGGCCAGCGTTTGCAAGGTCTGGCTTATTTTGCTGTAGAACATACAGATGGCCAGACCGTTGAATATGCCATCCAAAACACACTGACCCCCTGTCTGGCTGACGGCTGGCCAAACAGGCAAGAGAACTCAATTATGTCTGGATTAATGAACTTGTCGTCAGTGTTATTGCCTGTTAGTCACAGAATACAAGAACATGGGAAACAGGCAGAAAGGAAGAATGAAAATATTCAGAACACAAGGAATAAAGGAGTGAGAAGTAAAGACAAAGGAGCGTAAATCTTAATAAGAGACAGGGAGGTCAAAAGAACATTGCGGTGACCTGTTCCCCCCGCCAGGTGTGTTAATGGAATAGGAAGATGTGAAAGCAAACAAGGCGTGAGCTGAGGTGGAAGGAGGGAAGACATGGTGACCCCTGTGTGCCAGGAATGTGCGCAGTGCACAAGCTGTGCTGCTGGAAAGCCCAGGGATCAGGTTCTCCCTGTCAGCTGCCGCACTCGCCTGTTCCCAGGTCTAACTCTGTGATAGCTGTGTATTTAAAGAGAATGAAAGGAAGGGATGGAGATCAGGAGGACAGAAGCTGCTGCAAAACTGAAGTTGAGATACAACTGGAAAATAGATTGTGGTAGAAGAAATAGTTGAAGTTTTTAAATAAGTGTACTGATTTGCTCTGTTTCGGATGGGTTGATGAGAAGACTGTCACTCTTGTTTCTGCCTTTTCAAGTAACAAGTCTTACTTCAATAAATGGGAATCAGCCAGCACCTCAGAATGTACTTATTCAGACTTAATTGTAAAAAATGTCCAAAAGATGAAGTGTGTAAAAAAACTATTAACCATTGCTTTTAATTACTAGGCACACTATATTAACATAATCTTCATTGGTTGCCTGGCAAATTGCACAGGGGCAGAATACACTCTGGCTGATTGTCCAACAGAAAACAATGGTATTACTGTTTCAAAACTATGAAGTTTGTCTAATTTAAACAAAGTGAATTTACTGTATGCAGAATGCCTGTATGCAGGTGAAGTTTGACACATTACCTGTTTTATACACCTTCATCTACACAACCTCATGCATAAAGTTTATGCTCCTTAGTTGGTTATAAGTCAGCTTTAGAGTTGAGGTTGTAGATTTCGACATTGGACAGAGTCAGAAATCACTGAGAGAGAGAGAGAGAGAGCAGGGAATGACATGGGAAAGGAGTCTGGGGAGGAACTTGGTCCGCCCACTAAGGATTAAGTCCATGGGGTGTGAAAACTAAACAAGCGGCAAACTGAATGAAACCTTGAAAAATGAATCCAATGCAGATTTGCTAAATCCTGCAGTTCGTCGAGTGTCTACTTGAGGCTGGCTGCGAAATGACCGATTGTCACACCCATACAAACAAGCCTCTTTTTACAACTGAAATTAGCAGCCTGGTTCAAAGAAATGATATTGGTTTGATTAGCTCATGTCTCGATCGGCACAAACTGTACAGGGGATTTCAAATTATTTTTAAGAGTTATTCACAATAAGGAGAGTAAGAGACCTGATTGACAGGCAGGCACGATGTAACAGTTTGTCAAGAGGCTTGAAATCCGCCTCATCTCCAGCTCTTAGCCTGTTCTTGGGTTGACTGAAAGTTAGGGTGAGATAGCATTTCCAGCATGGCGACTAAAGCCCCCTGCAGTAACAGATGGGTGACGTCATTCAGGCTTCTTCGATTAATATTTCCAGTCTATGGAACTTACCAAAAGGCCGCCGGAGCCCCTTAGACACTGTTCTTACTGTTGACTAGCTATTTACCTCCCTCTGTTTCCATTCTCAATGCTAAGCTAAGCTTAATTGCTGCTTACAGTAGCTTTGAACGGTTACCGTAGAGACATGAAGGCAGTATCCATCTACTTCACTTTAAGCAAGAAAGCAATAACTTCAACATGAGGAAAGAAAGAAAGAGAAAAGCAATTTTGTCAACACAGGTTGGTTCAACCAGAGAATCTACAGTAAGGTGACATTCATGAAGGTTAAAATGCTGAGTCAGCTATCCTTGAACTGCACACAAAGTCTCTGGGGAAAATGACTATGATCACAGGTGTGCTTTTCAGTTCGCCCCACTCTCACCTTGTGACCATTACATCTTCCATCTTATTACACCGAGAAAATATCCCCCTGCATTCACTTCATTTTATAACAAAGGCAAGCCACATCAGCAGTATCATGCTCTCTGTGAAAACAGTGTGTCAAACACATGTAACAGTGAGTCAGCAGCCAATGTGAAATCTTCACTCTCAGGTCTCCACAAGGCTGCCTCTCAGTTCCCAGACATACTGTGACACATGGCATAGAGGAAAACGAAGAGGGAGGGGTGGCAATGCTAGTGAGTGTGTATCGAGGCGTTACACCAAACAGGCTGCGAGTGAGGACTATAAAGGGGGTAACATATGGCATTTAGATTGGTGAATACGAAATAGACACTGACTCAACACTTAATTCAAGAGCGTTATGGAGTTTATCCGGCAATGATTGATGATTCACCCACTTTACCTTCATCCCCCTCTTCCTGCTTTAATCCATCCACCTGTGGGTTTATTTCTAACCATGGACTAGGTCCCTATCCATTAATGAAGGATAGCTTACCGCCTGTGTTCCATCAAGATAGACCTGACTTGTATGTGTTGGAAGACGCACGCGTGTGAGTACGTCGATCTGTGACCTTTCTGAAGTTATTCCTCTTTCACATCCTCCTCCAGCAATTATCAACAGCTACAGCCCAGCAAGGAACATGCCCTCCTCTCACCTCTGTGACTTTTCAGCGGGAGTCTAACAGAAACAGACTTCTCTGGAGGTATCAGCTTGGGTAGCAGAAGGGTTATATTTGTCTGTAACACATGTGGGTTATGGAGGCCCGACTGTGCAGACGGTAAGGGGGAAGGTTGCACAGGGATATATTAAGGGTCGACAGCATTGACTGGCAATGTGAAGTTCATGTTTCGTCTGTTGGACTTTTTAATGGTGTTTCGATGCAGTTAGCGGGGCACAAGGTCGGTTTGGACTCAAACAAATGAGAATCCTTTCAATAAAACTAACACAGACTTTTTCAGATTTGTTGACTTTGATCTGAGTTGGCATCGAGAGGATTTCTAATGAAACACAGACAGAGATATGTCATTGCCATGTGGATTGAATCAGCTTTCAAACATGCTGACTTGCGTTTGCTTTAACAATGACACATCCTTGGTGTCCAAAAATCACATCGTTTTGGATAGATATGTAGATGGACAGAACATAGATAGGTAGAAAGATGGATATTTAAAAAAACAGAAGGATAAAAACGTTTGTTGACATGGAGACAGAAAGATAAGATATGTAGATGGATGGATAAATGTTTGGATACAAAGCTGGACTACGTCAATAGACATGAACATAATGCAGATGGCTATTCATTGCATACATAGATATGAAGATGCATACATGAATAGGTATGGAGTTTGGTACTAAGGTTGAGAAAATATCCAATTCATTGATACTTAAAAAGTTGTGATAACCAATAAATATTGAGTTTATATTAGCTATAATTAGACTGTGCAGGAGTTTGCCTGAAATCGTTAATAATTAAAAACAAGAAATTACCAAATTTTGGAGGACCTCGATTTTACAATACCATTTTTTTTGTAATAGTATTATATCCAAGTTTAAAATTCAGTTATCCTGACAAAAGTGAATAGTCAAATAGATATGAAGGTGGATATAGGGATAGATGCAAACATGCGACACACTGATGGATACAAAGGTTGAAACATGGAAAGATATAAAGATGAATAAAAATATTGAAAAGTAGATAGATGAATAGATACGAAGATGTATGCATGAATAAATAAGTAGATAGACAGATGGACAAGGTAACATTATGGTAAATAGATAGTTGGATATATACTTGTATAGGTTAAAGATGATTGATAATGATAATGCAAAGTTAGATGGACAGATGGGTACGTCGATACATTAGAAGTCTAAATTCCAGATAGATTCATCAGACTTGAAGAGACTGGATGATAGAATCATTTGGACTCTTCATTGTGACATTTTTCTTAACACACTGATGACCTTTCCATCATGCTAGGAAAGCTGGCAAAGGCTTAAGTGGCGAGCACTGAGGCCAATGTGGAGAACAGCAGCTGCTGAAAAGGAAAGAGTAAGGACT